TGTTTGTCTTTGGTTGTTTTTTTTTATTTTTTTTTTATTTTCGTTAGAAATAAGCATAGTTATATAGTAATTAAGTATTTTGTATGGTAGTAAAATACAGCTTTGCTTTCCTTTATTTACATTCAGTGCTTGTTGCTATCAGTAATTGGCATCTAGATTGTTTTAATATGTTTGTAAAACACATGTTTGCCCCTATTCATTTCTGAAGCATAATGGCCTTCAAAAATATATCGATTTTAATCTGCAACTTAACTTTTGCCGTCTGCTATAATATGATACAAATCATTCATCACTTTTATAATTAAAATATTTTGTGTGCACGATTGCTTTGATGTATGTTGTTAAAATATCACAAATTAAATTTCCCAACATAAAATATCAATCACTTAGATCATGCAAACTCTAAAAGATACCAAATGTCTACTTGACAGGATTCAATTAGTGCATGGACCAAAAGTGTTTACCTTTTGTATTTGTATTTAAGCAAACGTTCATTTTCAGACTTGAATTTTTTTTCTTTTCTTAAAAATAAAACAATAATTTCAGGAGAATTAAATGACATTTTTAAACTAAAAAGCTAATGTTAACTTCTGACAATATCGTAAATCCATGGTGGAATATCTTCATGTGTTCTGAACTCATTTTCACTAGAACGCCTACTCATGGTTTTATTTTCTTTGATTTTTCTATATACATTTCGCTGTAATTTGGTTTCAAAATCACTGTTCTATCAGGTTTTTACAACTTGATGATACTACTCTAGTTGCATATTTAGGGAAAAGCTTTTTTCGACGTAGATGAAGGGATGGCTCTCCTGCTTCAGGATAATTCGTTCCACTAGTGATGCTCCAAATGCGCCTTATGCTAAAGGAAAGCCTTGATGATGTATAGTATCGAGCATTTGTATATAGGATTTTCTACCCGAACTGTAAACTATAGAGCCATCATCTAATTTTGATCTGATGAGACTTTTATATCAGATCAATAAACCGTACTTAAAACATGATCGCAAAATATTTAAAAAAAACAACACTTTTTGCTGAAATACAAAGAGTACCTTTACCGATAGTAGACGGTCACGTGTGTTAGTGATTGTTAAATTGTAACAACAACAAATAATTTGAAAACATTTATGACAATAATTAAAAATTATTATGACCCATGCAGTACACACACCATTAACGTATGGATGGGCAATATATGACACTATTACCAGATAAAAATGTAAGGCTGATCGGTTTTTGTTTTGTATTTTGTTTTTTTTTATAATAAAGATTGAAACCCAATCGTCGGATCATTCAATGTCATGTTGCCTTTACTACTTTTAATCCACAAATTTTACTTAAATCCACACAAATAGTTTTTACAATATTACTAATTAATGCTATAAAATATTACTTTTTAGCGTGAAGCGGATAAAAGGTATGAACAAAAGCAAAATTAATGTGTCTATTAGAAACACGATATTTCAGATATTTTCATTTTATATATTAATTGAATCAATTATAGTATATAATTTTTTAACTGATATTAATTGTTAAATTCTGATATACATGTATTTTTCTAAGGTTCCACATGCCTGTGATACACTAGATAAGTATTGTACATATATTAACAATAATCTCATTTTGAAATGTCTACTGAGTATAAACAAGCGCAGTATTCAGTGTTTGAGACACAATTTGAATATAAGCATATAATTGTGATACTTAGAAGGTATAAAGCTATATTTACTGTTACTTTAGAGTGGATTCTCGAACGAGTTGTAAAATAAAATGATTTATTATATAACACACGTAAAGAAATAAACTATTTTGTAACATAATTATTTGCTATTTTATGAAAGGATTTAATTTGCGTTCTTTGAACGCCGCCTTTCCTTGTTGATCTTGTTTATCATATTATCTTTTTTTAATTGCTTACCAATTTCTCCGTCGTATATGCGCTAGCTTTTCGTTCATTAGAAAATATACAAGCATTCTTTCCGACAGGTATTTTGGAAGCATTTATTCTACATTCACTACTACCGTTTTCAACTCCATGCACTATATACACTTTGGTTCAGTCCCGATGGTGGTCTTAATTGAGGGTTTATACTGTATAGCTTTAAGGTACACCACTGCTAATGGACACTATAAGGAACTGTAAAATTGACAACAAAGGACGGTTATACGCCTTAATTGTCACATGTATGCAAAAATCAATTAAGATTTAACGTGTGGTTTATCAGTTATGGACATTTTTCTAAACTTAATTAAAATTTGCTATTAGAAGGGCTTTTCTTCTGAAATGAGAAAACTCTAAATAATCTATAATATCATCATTATGAAATATGTATTACTATTGCTCATTGTTTATAAATAAACAATAACATTCGGGTAACAAAATACACGAGCAAAATGATTGATTTTAAACAAAATGTTGTTAGTATGCATAAAACGTTACCCTTACCAACCCACTCCAAACACATATATGGCCATTTCCGAAAATAAAAAATAAAAACCTAAATCAAAATATCCATTACATTTACAACAATAAGGGGCTGTTTTCAAAGTTTGCCTTTTTTTGTTAATGTATGTTGGTTGATTTTGCAAAATATAAAATACTTTTACCGTGCATTTTTAAAATTTTATTTAACTTTGAAAATATCTGGTATCATATTTGCTATTAAATTTGGCATTATTTAGCAAATAAACACCTTCAATAAATATATAATTAAAATTACACTTTTTTCTTCCTTGATACATAAATAACGTAAAAAGATAGAAAAAGAAAAAAAAGAAAGAAAGAAGTTGTTCCTTCTGGGGTTTGTATCCACGCCCCTCAGTTTCAATGCAGTTGACAAGTGATTCTAGACTATTTCAATACTCTTCAAAATGGAGGTAATTCATAAACAGTGGTCTACTTTTAACACCTGAAATAAACCAACGCTACATCAGTCTGTAAAAATAAAGTTTAAAAAAACACGTCATATATCAGGCGCAGTAATAATTATCTGAAACATCTGATTGTGTGGTAGTGTCATTTTTATAAATATAACATACCAAAGGCAATCAACAACATTTTCATATATTATTCATAAATTAATCCTTCAGCAAATTCATGATTATTCGTTGATATATAAATGAGAATATCATTTGGTCCAGACACATCTGCCTTCTGGTAAAGTAACTTCTAGGAAATATTTCAATCTTGAATACATTTGCATTTGAAGAAATTTGAAAATCCAGGACCCAATGTTAACTAAAAAAATCAATTTCAAGATAAGCTGATTCGATATTTTGGCTCACATGATCCTAAGCTTGTTTATTATTGTTCATATTTTAATTGAAAACCGGGATCATATTGTTTAAATTGTTATGTTTTCTCCCGAAGATTCTTCAATTATAGGTTTTTGCCGTCTTCATCATGGAGCGGTGATAAAATTGGTCCGAAAAGAAGCGCGTTTGAAAAGAAATAAGAGGTGCGGCAGATTATTTAGAATGTTTGAAAGAGTTGCTTGACGATGAAGAAAAAAATAATTAGGACAATAACTGGCTGACAAATTTAATGGTCAAGATGTTGTTATTATCTATTAATTTTCATATTTGTCCAATGTTACCGTATTGCAATATCATTTAATTTTTTTATTGATGTTTAAAACTTATAAACAAGAGTGATTTATTGTTAATCGGAGAATGTATTGCCTTTGAGAAATGGATACTCTCAACATTCATACAACATGTTCAGTGTTCAATTAAGTCTTTGCCACATACTGTCGACAAAGAATAATCTGATTTCAACAAGCAATCATCTTTTTTTCTCTTTGAAAAAGCTCTTTATACGGGAATTTTAATGAATCCACTTGGAATCTTCTTTAAATGGTAATTGAATATTTCTATATTGAGAACACGAAAAACTCAATTCTTAATATATAAGTGTAATCTCAAATGCCAAAGATAATGATAAAAACAGTTTCGCATTACAATAACACTTTAAAATAAAAATCCGTATTGCCTACCATTATAAGCATCTACGTGAGAAATAAACAAGTTCTTGTCATTTCGCTATGACACCTACCTTTAAACGTCAGACATGTCTTGCAAAACCTGATTTTTTTCATCTCTATTTTGTCGCTGAATGACGAATTCTTGGAATTAATTTATTTATTCGAGGAAATGCAAATGGCAGTTTAATTAAAGATGTGTAAGTTAAAACATATTATGGTACAAACAGAAATTTTCCATATATGGTATCTTATCTCGAGTAGAAATCAGTGTTGATATATATCATTATTGTTAACTAGTCACATTCAGGAAGACATTAACAAAGATAGAAGTTTCATATCAGAGCTGTAGTTATCAGAGCTGTAGAAAAAGCAAAATTAGGTAAGGCATGTGGAATTGACTGTATTCCAACTGAAGTTTTAAAAAATGATACTTCTTTGTATGTTTTACATAGTATTTTTAACGTTTGTTTTGAGACTGGACAGGTACCATTAATATGGTCCAAGAATATTATAAATCCCATTCCTAAATCTGGTTCTAAAGATCCAAAAGATCCTATGTCTTACCGTGGTATAGCTTTAGCTCCTACTATGTACAAGATGTATAGTAACATTTTAAATGAACGTATTGTAAAGTGGACAGAAAGTAATGATTTAATTGTTGAAGAGCAAAACGGTTTCCGGACGGAAAAAACGTAGTACTGTTGACCATATTTCAAGTCTTACAAATATAATTGAAACAAGAAAGAAAAACAAACAGTCGACATTCTGCGCATTTATTGATTTTAGAAAAGCATTCGATTCAGTCAACAGGTCAATTTTTTGGCGTAAACTTAATGAATGCGGAATGTCAACCAAGATGCTCACAGCAGTTAGGTCTCTTTATAAGGATATGTCAGCATGTGTTAGAGTAAATGGCATGTGTACCGATTGGTTTAATGTAAACACTGGTGTAAGGCAAGGTTGCTCTCTGTCTACTATACTTTTCAATATTTTTATCAATGACTTAGCTATTATGTTGAAAAATATGAACAAAGGAATAGCTATTGATGGCGAAAATATTTGTATATTGTTATATGCCGATGACATTGTATTGATTGCTAAAAATGAAAATGATTTACAAGATTTATTATCAATGTTAAACAAATGGTGTGAAGGAAACGGAATGGGTATCAATGTTAGTAAAAGTAAAGTTGTACACTTTAGACCAAATTCAATTCCTAAGTCATGTTTCGTTTTTAACTGTGGAAACTGTAAAATTGAATATGCTTCTAGATATATGTACCTTGGTTTAGCTTTAACCGAGCACCTAGATTATAACATAACAGCTAAAATAGTTGCTCAATGTGCTGGACGTGCCCTTGGGCTCCTCATTGCTAAGTACAAATCATTTGGTGGACTACCTTATGATGTTTATATAAAGTTGTACTATTCTTGTGTGGTACCAGTCATCACGTATGCTTCAGCAGTATGGGGTACTAAATCTTTTTCTTGTGTCAATGCCGTTCATCACAGAGCAATGAGGTTCTTTCTTGGTACTGGTAAATACACACCTATTGTTGCAGTCCAAGGTGACATGGGTTGGAAACCAATTATTATTGACCAGTGGAAATCTGTATGTAACCATTGGCATAGATGTTTATTATATAATGGTTGTAGGATTAATAAGAAAATTTTTAATTGGTCAGTTAATAAAGGTAATAATAGATGTAAAAATTGGCCATTCATTGTAAGAGATAAATTGTGTTCAATAGATTTAGATATGTATACCATGCTTCTTTTTGATAAAAATAAGATGTTGAATGATGTATGTACTGCATTGATGAATAGTCATATTGTTCAATGGCAAACTGATTTGAATAGATATACAGGTGTAAATGGCACTAACCACAATAAGCTAAGGACATACAGATTGTTTAAGAGTAGCTATGATACTGAGCTATATTGTAAACTGCAATTACCATATTGTCATAGGTCTGCGCTATCCAAATTCAGGTGTGGTGTTGCGCCGCTAAGAATTGAAACTGGGCGTTATACTAACATGCCAGTAGCTGAAAGAGTTTGTCCATTCTGTGAAGAGTTTATTGAGACAGAAATGCATGTTTTATTACAGTGCCCGTTATATAATCAAATACGTGATGTCATTTATGAAAAAGCTCAATCTGTAGACAATAGTTTTTATGATATGTCTGATAATGATAAATTTGTATTCATGTTCTCTCACCCAGACATGGTTAGAATCCTCGCAAAATCCTGCTGTGATATATTAAAAATTAGAAATAATATTTTATATAGTAAAAATTTTAAACTGTAAGTAATAATATTTAGTAATTGCAACAATTTTATTATATGACATACAATTTAAAATGTACAGATGAAATATTTCCAGTGTTTGACGTTTTAATGTTAGCTAGCATGTTATTTAGTGTCACTCAAAAGTACTATGTTACCATTTGGCTATCATTTATACAAACATGATTTTAATATTTTAGGCTGTCTAACACTGGTAATGTTTAATCTTAATATTGGTTTTACCATGTATGATAGTAATGATATTTAGTAATTGCAACCATTTTATTACATGACAAAGAAAATACCATTTAAAATTGTACAGATGAAATATTTCCAGTGTTTGACGTTTTAATGTTAGCTAGCATGTTATTTAGTGTCACTCAAAAGTACTATGTTACCATTTGCTATCATTTATACAAACATGATTTTAATATTTTAAGCTGTCTAACACTGGTAATGTTTAATCTTAATATTGGTTTTACCATGTATGATATAGTGTTTTAGATGTTTAGTCTCTTATAATTCTTATAGAATGGCTATATACATGTATTTTATATTATATTGTATATAGATGAGACTGGAATAAATAAATAAATAAATAAAATAAAAATATCAAATACAAACATGCCTTTAATGAATCACTTACAACAGTATATCACACTTGATAACACACAAAGAGAGTGTTTGAAAAATGCACACAACAAACATTATGATCATAATATTATTATAATTAATTTTGATATCATGCTACACACAATCATTTTTTTTTAAATTTCATTTTGCATTTAATTTTATTGAAACATTGATTGTTTTCGACATTAAATTTTTTTATGAATTCTGGAGAGCTTCAACGAGGAATGTTTAAAGATTAAATAATCTATCAGTTATATCAGATTATGAAGTTACATCATTATAAGCATGCACAAAATGTATGCAAACGGCTTTTAATAACTGTGTTATATAAATTTCATGCACATTGACTAAGTCATTTATACGACAAAGAAGTATTAGTGTTTAGAAAAGAATAAAAACAGACACAGCTGTAGCCAATGATATACGATATATTATTTTAAAGACTGGTTTAGATTAACATCTCCGTTTAGATTAGCATCTAAATATATACAAGAACAACCAATGTATTGTTATGTATATTTATATATTAGATGGAATGAAAGGAAACACATATTTTAATCACGCTCAGGTAAGATAATTCACATAGTCTATAAACATGTTCATATATCCTTTGCAAAAAAGATGTGTTTATTTATGGTTTCTTACGAAACATGTTTACAACACCGCCATATGAAAATACATCTTGCGCAAATATATAAAATCTAATTTAATAAAACATTTAGAAAAAGTTGATATATGTATAGTATTAAAACATTCACGAAAAAGAAAATAATATTACTCCAAATAGAATTACGTTGATACGATTTATATCCCAAGACAATTATTCTAATTTTTTTCAATTTTGAAAATGTCATGTTTTCTAGATTATGTTCAAGATAATCTAATAGCAGAAAAAAACTAAAAAGCCGTTAAAACGAGAAAGCCGATGTCATAAATATACACATATCCCTAAAATGTCATTAGTTGAAGGCAAAATAACTCAAATTTAAAACAAAAAGGAGTTTAACAAAAGATCTTGTTAAAAACTACCTAACGTAAAATTGTAATAGCTGCACTGTTCGAAGCTTTATCTTTTTACTTTCTTACATTGATTTGGAACATTATGTAAAGATTGAACAACTCAATCGTTCATTAGGGATTCTTATTTCACTCTATTTCATAAGTTATTGGAATCGTGTCATTAAATGTTGCGCAAGGTTGGAAAAGTTTTGTCGACAAGCACATGATAACTTTAAGCATATGTTGACTGTGACTTCATTACAAAAGCTTGATGTCATTACCAATAACCACCATCACGTACTCTTTATTTATGTCTTGTGCAGACATTTACTTTGCATGTTTTCATTAACCTTTATCAAAATATATCTTCACGGCATTGACTGAATGACGGACAATGATCTACCTCTAACATTTTCAAATTTGCCGTGTTGGGCTTTCTTTAGTGATTCTGTATTTATCTATTTTATGATCACATCCGTGTTATTTGTGCCGTGTGGCGGCTGTAAAAAGTCTCCCCATACATTTAATCAATGATGTTATGTTTTCGATCCTTGGAGATCGTTCAGCACGACATTATTGTTGTGCCTGTGGTATTTTTAGTTTCAACTTTTCGGCATTTTCTAGTCGGGTGGTTCCAATATTCCTACTTGAATAATGTTGAATCACCCTTAGAATAATTATGTTGCCTGCTTTTTAAATTTGTCTTTTGACGTCTTATCTGTGATACGCAGGCTTCATAACCTCTGATCCCCTTTCAAAATTCCATTTTATTTAGTTCCGATCATTGTTTTCTCGTTTAGGGCACACGCTTTTTATTACTTGGGGACCATACGCCGCTTTTCATGGAATGGCACTACTGTGTCACATTGAAGGTTCCATGATAACCGCCGTATGAACACATCTGCGGATGTTTCCAAAAAATGAAAAATTTTACTATTTCATGTTTAAATGTTGAATTCTGCTTAAGCCGGTGCTAGGGGGCGTGGACGGTAAATTGCACTTTCCAGGACCGTCCATGAACAGACTCAATCAAACCGAGCCTGCAACATTTTCAATTTTGCCGTGTTGGGCTTTCTTTAGGGATTCTGTATTTATCTATTTTGTGAGGATTAGTCCAGACAAACTTCAGGTGTCAAGTGCCGTGTGGCAGCCGTAAAAAGTTGCCCCGTACTTCACTTCAGTGTTGTTATATTTTCTGGACCTTCGGGATCATTGATGCCAACACTATAAAGTGTTGAGAATTGAGTACCGCTCAAGCCGGTGCTAGGGGGCGTGAGGGATGTTGCACTTATACATTATCCCTCATGTACAGACTCAATCAAACCGAGTCTGCAATTCTTATGTTATTTTGTTGTGATTAATGCTTCCGAGGGATCACTTTGTTTCCAGAATTTTATACTTCACAACAGCAGGTGTCAAGTGCCGTGTGGCAGCCGTAAAAAGTTGCCCCGTACTTCACTTCAGTGTTGTTATATTTTCTGGTCCTTCGGGATCATTGATGCCAACACTATAAAGTGTTGAGAATTGAGTACCGCTCAAGCCGGTGCTAGGGGGCGTGAGGGATGTTGCACTTATACATTATCCCTCATGTACAGACTCAATCAAACCGAGTCTGCAATTCTTATGTTATTTTGTTGTGATTAATGCTTCCGAGGGATCACTTTGTTTCCAGAATTCTGTGTAGTTGGCAAAACAAAATAATAACAACACATTTTTTTTCAAAATATGGAAACAAAGTGATCCCTCGGAAGCATTAATCACAACAAAATTACATAAGAATTGCAGACTCGGTTTGATTGAGTCTGTACATGAGGGATAATGAATAAGTGCAACATCCCTCACGCCCCCTAGCACCGCAAAGGCAATAACTTGAAACTTGTGTATTATGCGCAAGTACTTGACCTACCAATCAATCCGGTACTCCGGACAAGCTTTATTAACTCAGTACATGAGGGATAATGAATAAGTGCAACATCCCTCACGCCCCCTAGCACCGCAAAGGCAATAACTTGAAACTTGTACAAACTCAATCAAACCGAGTCTGCAATTCTCTTGTAATTTTGTTGTGATAAATGCTTCCGAGGGATCAATTTGTCTCCAGATTTTTGTATATTATGCGCAAGTACTTTACCTACCAATCAATCCGGTACTCCGGACAAGCTTTATTAACTCAATGGCCATAACTCAGCCAAAAATCATTCAAAATTAAAACCCGTGTTATATGCAAAAATATTGAACTACCAATCAATCCTGTAAAGCGTCATTGAAATTGAATAAATGGTATAAGAGCAGTAGTCTGGACAAAATCTAAAATATATAAAAATAATGAAAAGGCCATAACTCCGACAAAAATTATTGAACCATAAACAAGGGGCAGGACGTGAAGTGGTTGCACACTTGGTTCAAGCGAGCGAATTGGTTGCAAACTTGACAAAATGGCAAACACGGCGTGATTTTTTGAAACGGGTGAACGAATTTTTGCCAGGCAAGTGGGTTTCTTTGTTATTTTGAAGTTCATTAGTATGTCTATTCCATAATGCAATATATATACCACACTCGGTTTAAGGTTTCAGCATCCTAGATTCTGTTTTGACGAAGTTATTGAAGATATAAACTGATCATGTAGATATTTTGAAATTTGACATGTGACTGTTCTGGTCGGTTTTTCTCCTAATTTATTCGAATTTGTAAGTTTTGAACTGCATTTAACAATAACAAAATATGTTTCTGTCAATGCAGTACAAATGGTTTAGTTCGCAAGTCCGAAGATAACGTTCAATACACAAAAATATCTTGTTCAAGCACATTTTGGTTGCAGACTTATACTTCAAGCATTTTTGGTTGCAAACTTATTCTTATTCTATTGAAATCCATAGTAAAACTTTGCAAAAGGATTGTAGTATTTTATATTTATTAACCTATTTTCAATGGCAATTATTGACATTTATGTTCTTTTACTTGTTTTTGTTATAAATGTTATTTATACTTTCTTCTTTTACAACAAGTATGCACTTTATGTTTCAAATTACATGGTTCTCAGTTCAATACTTTAATCATCAGTAAAAGCCTGCAAACAAAATAATAGCACATAGAAGAAAAATATTTATTGATACTTCAATTCTAAAATATGTCATCATATGTAAAATGCAAATGAAAACAGCATACAAAACAAACGTATGTGAGAGTACTGCGCTGTATGTAACTGAATTATTTTCATCATAAACAGAAGGACATGTGCACACATACGATGTTACTCGGCAAAATTTCCAAAGTTTATCAAAACCACAATAAATGTTATTTTGTTTGTTT